GCCACTAGAACGCGGCTTTCTTAGATCCTCGAACACTACATTCCCATCCTTTCCCAACGACACAGTCACCGCGACTTCTTCTCCTTGACTCAACCTGGTCAATTCCTCGAAGCTCTTTGAAAATCCCGTTCAGGGTTTGGTTCGTCTGGACTGGTCGTCGGTTTCGACGAACTGTAGGGCTCGGTAGATCCGTCGTTGTTTTTAGTGTTACGCGGCAAGTCGTCTGCACGACGCGGCTGCGTAGCCATTGCACAACGTGTCTTTAGATTGGGATCGCGCATGGTGATTATCTGGCTGCCGTCGGCCGCGTTCTTGATATTGCTTTCAGTCGCAATATCAAACGGTCTGCCGAGCAACACCTTATAAGCTGGACTTTCCAAAATGTGCACCTGCAGGTAGACCAGGATGGTCCCAAACCTGAAGGGTACATTTCTCGCTAATCCCAGTGACTTAGAGATAGAGCCATTTGCGCTTTCCATATAGATGACGACTTTCGGGTCCCAGCTTAATTGTGCGTCGACGGCTTCTGAGAAAGCCATCGATACAATCTGAGATCCACTGTCTAGGATGCAGTCCACGTCGAGACGCGCGTTAATCCGTCCGTTTATCGTTCTGAGAGCAGCCGACGAATCACCAACATAGACATGCCTTGGGTTCTCATTAGAGGGTATCGACTCCAAGTACATCTCATATGGGTCCGTCGCGACAACTGCGCCAATGGGAATTTCTCCTTCAACTGTGTTATGATAGAACACAGGCTCGGGCAATTCCTTAGCACTGACTAGGTTGTAGCTCAGTTCTCCATCCCAAACGTCTTCAACGACGCGACCAGTTTCTTGAAGCATGGACTTCTGAACCGGTACTCGTTTCTTCGAAGAGTCCTTCAGGATGGAGTCGCGGACAGTCCCCGAAACTGCTAGGAGTTCACCCACAGTGACGTCGACTGACGCGTTTTTCATTTTGTCGTAGACTGCTTCTGCCACAGCCTTCTTTTGAATCGGTGCACGCAACTGGTATTTATCTGGAACGCGCGCTTTTGAAGAATGTACTGGTTCTTGTAGAACGGGCTTGACTTTCTCAAACGGTAGTTCCTTTCTCTTTTCGGTGTTGTTGCGCACTGATTCCTCATCATTGTCGCTATCACTAACTTCTTCAATAATCACAGGTTTCCTTGGTTTCTCTCGTCGCTCAGCTCGTTTATCATGGTCCTCAGAGGGCTTGGCTGAGTTTGTGGGTTTAGCCCCCTTCCTTGAACCATTTAGAAACCCGAGTTGTTATCGTCGCGCTCAGGTTGGCTATTCGCACCTCGACGGGTTTGAATGAACTGCTCCTGAGTCTGAGGATAACCACTGTTCATGTTGTTGAAGTAGCCGGCCATGGCGTCGGTCATGGCTTTCTGCATGAACTGGCCCATGGCACTTTCCATTGCATTGCTGGTCGAACCAGATGCAGCTCTTTGAGTCTTCGGCTCAGCGCGACTCTCTGGAGTTGGCCGCGACGACTTCCTCTCATATTGGATGAGTTGACTACGAAGGGAGCGTATCTCATCTGCCACTTCTTCAGGGTAGTCGGACATATCATCATTGTCGCGGCTATCGAACTGATCCAAGTAGTAGGAGTCTTGGAAGTTGACGGACTTGCCCTTCTTCTTCCAGTAAGCCTCTACTCGTTGTCCCTGAGTCCCTTCTCCATTTGGTAGGAAACTGTCGTCGAAGAGCCTCCACATTCCTTTGGTGTCGACTTTGAGAAGGTTTTTCTCAATGTGAGACCTCTTGAGTGGGCACTCGTTCGACCAGTGACCAGTTTGTCCACAGTAGCGACAGTCGTCGTTTCGTGCGGCAGCTCCTCCTTGTGCGCGACTTTCAAAGTGGGGCACAGAAGAGTTGTTGCCTACTGGCCGCGACCGCTGTATGGGCGCTTCGCGAGCAGTCTGTACGAACGTCTTCAGCGCTTCCTGCAACTGAGTCTGTAGCTCTTTTTGGTGTAGAAGAAATGAGTCCTTCAAGTTGGAAATCGAATTTTCCAACTCCTCAACCTTAGCATGGTTGGGTGGACTAGTCTCATAGTCGAAGCGAACCTTAGGAGGTCGCGCGATTATGGGAATTTCGTCTTCGTTACTCAACGTCGACGCCATTTCTTCTGCCATTGTCATTAATTCTTTCAACTGGATGGGGTCGTCCTGCCGGTTGACTCCAGTCGCGGGGACATTAGCATTTGCTATCCCGGCGCGAGTTTGGTAGCGCTTGTTGAATACTTGACTTGTAGCCAAAGCATTCCTCAAGACGGTACTGAACTCAGAGTCCAAAGTACGCATGTAGCGTTCACACGCGACTTTGTTGGTAATAATGGCAGGAGGGACTGACAGTCGCTTGTAGTGACTGTACATCTGAAGGCCGAAACGCTTCAAATCTCCCTCATCCGTTATTTTGATTCCACGGTTCTTGCGACAGAGTCTGTCAAGATCTGCCATGGTCCCCGTTTTTCGCTTGGACACCTCAGGGTATCCTTTCAATATTTCGGCCTCGAACTCCGCGACAGTTTTCGTGTCGTCGGAATAGGTATCGAGACCTTCCCATACGTCCATTACTTGCCGCGACGGCAAATAACGAATGTACATGCTTTTTGCTTGTTTGACATCTGTGATGCCACCATCCTCCATGATCTGCGCGCAGTGACGCAAATATGCCTCAATCGACAGGGGATCCTTTTCATCAAGTATAGGTCTACTTGTGTCCCAAGGTTGAGGGATTTTGAACCCAGTCTTTGGAGCCATAGTTGTCACGACTGAAGTCACAGGGGAAGTAGGGATGTTGTTAGAATTCGTGTTTGTAGCGGTGACGCTACTAGACAATTCTGAGAGGGTTTGTGAGCTAGTCTGAGATCGACTGATTGTCGTCGAACTCGAAGTAGCCGCGTCTAAAGCTGGAAGCTTCGACGTCGAATTCACTCTTTGTTTTCCTTTTGCCTTGGAAGGCAAGGGTGGTAGATACAAAGGTGTTTTATGTCTTGCAGACCTTCGTGGTTTTTCGAAAGGTCCTGAAGTTGAAGCGTTTCCTTCAGTCTCAATCTCCGCTTGGTCCTCGAGAGGTTGCGCAGGAGCTTGGGATCGAAATAAACTGCTTCGCGGGAAAAACCCTTGGTCTCTATCCGACGTCGCGGTAAAGAATCCGGTTTATTGATTTTTAAAGTTTATGAAACTTTAGAAGCCCCTCGCGATGGGCTCCAGATGAAATGCTGAGGGCGTGCTCACAAGTGAATCTACTATGAAAGTAAACCCAAATATAAAACACGTTCACACTCCTCGTAATCAGCTTCTCAGTGTGTGAAAGATGCGAGGGCTTCGGGGTGGACAGAGCACCAGTATCACAACTCTCAATAGACGCAGATCCAATAGTCGCGGAGACGAAGTCGACGACAAGAATTTATATATAGCAAACAATGGTATCTCAACCAATATCTTCTATACGAACACAACCAACACTAATCCAATCCACAAACAACAATATAACAAGTCAGAACTTAATACGGAGTATTAAGATCCCTTGTAGCGACAGCGTCTAGATGGTGACGCAAAGCCCAAATATCAAGTCGACGCACTGCCAACCGATACAACCAATATACTGAGTCGACGCACTGCCAACTAGTAAACCAAAATGTCAAGTCGACGCACTGCCAACTGACACAACCAAAAGTACTGAGTCGACGCACTGCCAACTAGTAAACCAAAATGCCGCGTCGACGCACTGCCAACTAACAGCCAATATCCAATGTCCAAAACCCGAGCACAACTTGTCGATGCACTGCCAAGCAAGAAGTGTGGAACCAAAGTTCTCAAGTCGACGCACTGCCAACTGACCAAAACAACCCGAGCACAACTAGTCGACGCACTGCCAAGCTAGAGGTGTGGAACGATCTCAACAAAGCCCGAAGGCGACGACACTAAATGCCGCGACTAAACCAGATGCGGCGAATCCGACTTTTTGATGTCTCAACTCAAACTCAAATCACAGTAGCTACAAGTGCTCAGGGAGCTACTCGTCGCGACCGGGCAGGGGTGGCAGAACTTCTTAGGGTGGAATCACGCGGCACGCAAATTGTACAAAACAATCTGAAATGAGAGTGATTCACAGTCCGGGGGAAAGCTTTCTAATACAAAGAAACAACGTGCTACTTATACTGTCTACGACGATGCTTAGTAAAGTCATGTACAACTGCATAGTAGCTGCGCTATCTAAGATCGGTTGCCTTTTAGGGTAATTGAAAAGTTGAACGATCGGACAGGTCCTGAGTGATCAGGACCCCGCCCCATAGTCCATATGATACTTTTGATGTGGGTCAACCCACCGCGTCATACTTTTGGAATACAACGTGCTGGATTGGCCAACGGGTATGTCTTGGCATGTGAGACCAACGTGGGCGCCCCAAGAAGCCGTATGGCCCTAGGCACGCCAGTCGTTTCCCACATGGCTCGGTTCACGGATCTAGCCGTGTCGATTTCTAGTGTGTTTGGGTATGGACGCGACTCGCCGTGACACTTGGGAGTGTCACCGCGACGCGTCCACAATGTCCCGTGATCGAATGGATCCTGACATGTGACAAGTCGTCGTTGTAGCACAATCTGAGGAAACGTCCAACTCAAAACCGGGAGTTGCCGCGACAAGATGGTTTAAGTCTCGTAACGCCAAGTCCTGTCCAGTAGTAGCCGTATTATTGAGAACGTCGCACATTGCTCAGCCCTTCAGCCCAAGTTCCCATCTGCAGAGAATGACCCTTTTTGAGAAGTCGACGCAACGACAGATCCCTTTTTTGGGGAATGGTCGCGGTCCAAGCGTTTGTCACTAATGGCCCTGAGCCTGGTGTAGACTCATAAGACCAATTCCACAGTAGTGATCTGACTGCCTTGCTATCGTCGACACTATCCACAGTCGTCGACTGGGCAGTAGACCCTTAAGTCCTACTGAGCGCAACACTGTCAACCGCGACACGATACACCGAGTGGTTCAAGAGTAAACTCTGTAAAAAGCGCAAAAATACGCCCTTACAGAGCTGGTGCAGAGCGCGTCTGGTAGCCAGCCTATCAGCGCTTCAACCTCCTTGTTGGCAAAGTGCTTGCCATTGTCGGACAGGAAGACCTCCGCCGTGTGGAACTTCCCGAATATGTGTTCGAGAGCCGTTGTCGTTGTTTTCCCTGTTCCTGAGTCTCTTAGCATGAATCCCCATATGAATTGAGAGAACGTGTCCAGGTATAACCCTATTGTTTTGTTTCCGCCCTTGCCGTCTGGCATGGACAGGTAGTCCCCCACAATGAGCTCGAAGGGTCTGCGTCGGGTGATTGGGTCCATCAACGCGTGTAAGTTTGCGGGTCCAAATCCTTTGCATTTCGCGCAGTCCATTAGTGCTTTCATGATTGACTCATCCATGCCAGGGCTGTGATATTTGTCCATCAGTGCTAGCTTCACTGAATCTCTGTGGAAGTGGCCTCCTTCTGCGTGTGCTCTTGCGGCCTCCTTGTATGCCTCTTTCCGTGTGATACACTCGCGCCTTGATCGTGCTCGTAGGGATGGGCCGCCTCCCAGTCTCCACAGTTTCCCGTTTTCTATGAAGTATTTTGATGCCCTGTGGGTCGCCCGTTTTCGTTCTGCGATGCTGTCCCCCAGATTCAGCTCTGTTATTGCATCTATGATTTGTGAGTATAGCGGTTCATCCTGTAGACGGGTCCTCAAGGCGTTTGTCCCTTCTGGTAGCGGCACTACTGTGCAAACCAACTCTTCCTCCTCTTCATCCACTGCGAAGAGGTCATTTGTGAGCCCCGTTCTGGCCTCCCAATCCGGCGATACTGTCCACTCGCTTCCGTCGCCATCCTCTTTTGGTGTGCCCTCTGCTGCTCGGCTTAGTGCGTCTGCTACTGCGTTCGACGATCCTTTTATGTGTTCTGCCTCAACGATGTTGTACCCCAAGAGGCCATTCAGCCATCTCATGTGCGTGGCGTTCAGTTTCTCGCTGTTCAGTATGTCTCGTAGTGCTTGGCAGTCTGTTTCGAGCCAGATCGGCTGTCCCCAAACAATATTCGAGAATTTGTCTAATGCAAATTTCAGCGCGGCAAATTCCAAGAGGTGTGGCTGATACCGTTCTTCCGCCGTGGATGTCCTTTTCGAGGCAAAGGCTATCGGGTGCCTTTGTATGACCACCTTGCCTTCCGCTGTGGTTGACTGCATCCGTTGCGAGAGGACGCCTGCAAAGGCGTCCTTACTTCCATCGGTTGTTACAATGAACGGATGTTCGCGTACAATGTCGTATAGAGGCGCCCGTAGTACTGGTGCCGAGATCAGTTTTTGTTTGAGGCGTAAGAAGCACTTAGTGTGTTCCGTTGTCCATCTTGGTCGCAAATCAAAGTTCTTCATGGTATTACGGTAGACCTGTCGACTTGCGTTCTTTGGTATTGGGACTTCTTTCAGCAGGTTCCATAGTGGCACCTCCTCTTTTGCGTAGTTCCTGATGATGTCCCTAAAGTAGCCTGTTAGTCCTAGGAATGCTGCAAGATTAGTAGCGTTCTCTGGAGTTTTCCAGCCCACCACTGCTGTGAGCTTTGCTGGGTCTGGTGCCACTCCCTTTGGTCCCACTAATGCGCCTGCGAACACCGCCTCCGTCATGAAGAGCTTGGTCTTTGCGGCCGATAATGACAGGCCTTCTGCTCGAACCCGCTCAAAAACCTTCTTGAGCTTGTCGAGCATGCCTTCGAATGTGTCATCTGCAGATCCCCCGTCATCCACAAACAGTTCCATGACATTTACGAGTAAGTCACTCAGCTTATCGGCGCACATTGCGCCAAACTCCGTTGATGCGTCCGTGAGTCCAAACGGCATCCGGGTGTATGCGTAGTACCCCATACCCGGTACGAACATTACCAAATATGGTTGCGCGCTCTCGTCCACCCTCAGCGCGAAGAAGCCAGACGCAAAGTCGAATATGGACACGTATCGATGTCCTGCCAACCTGCGCTGTTTGTCCTGTATATCTCCCTGTGGTACTGGTACGACCTTGAGCGGGGCCTTGAGTTCGTAAAAATTTTGGCAGATACGCCACTTCTGGCTTTCTGGTTTGTTCTCGGCCCTCGCCTGTTTCCCCGTGCTTGTTTCGTATGGGCGCGGTAGCCCCGCCTGCTCGCACGCTTCGTTGAGCTCTTGCTTCAGCTCCTCATGTGACAACCCTGGGTTGTCGTGCTCCTTCTTCACCAGCTTGATCGGCGATACGCAACGCACGTCCCGCGGGTGTATTGGCCGTAGCACCCCCGCTTTTACAAGCATCCTCGTCTGCCTCTGGAGATGTTCCTCCTGGGGGGGTGTCATCGGCTTCTGGTGCACCTTCGTGCTGAATTTGTGGCCCGGCGGTATGTTGGGGGCGTACATTGCGTCTTCCACCGGTATGACCTCGGCTACTGACAGTGCGAAGACGTCCGCGTAGTTTGCAATGAACGCTCGGACTTGCTCCCATTGTGGTTCTGTGAGGTCTGTCCCTATCGTCACCAGCTTCAGTACTGCCGCCACGCGCTCGGCCTTGAACGGGTTTGTTGTCCTCGTGTATATTGACGTGGCGTCGTCTTCTGGCATTGCTTCTGGCGATGTTATCTCTTCGAACTTCCCCTGCGCGTTGGCGCTGCTTCCTTGGGGAGCGGCTGCTCTCTCCTTCATGTGTTGGATCACCGCTATTACTTCTTCGTTGCCGATCTCCTCCCTCCACCTTGTTTGCTGATCCACTGACCCCGTTGCTGCTGCTCGTCTGTCTGTCCCATTGTCGTGTTGGGTTCCGAGTCTGGACAGTACTCCCGTGAAGTAGTCGCCTGTTTGCGTGCGAATCCGCCTCTCATCCAATCGGTTTCTGCTGTTTCTGAGCACCGTTCCTGGGGTGTCGTCCTCTGATGGTATCACTACCTCGTCCACTGCATAGTTGTGTGTTGCCCTTGCTGCCGCTAGTGCCAGTTTACCGAATAGGAAAGACCATCCGCCCCCGCTTGGGAATACTTCGAGTTCCACTTCGATGGTCGTCTTGCCGACTTGTACTTTTCCTGACCAGGTTGCTGTCGGGCGTACCACTGTTCCGTCGGCCATTCTCAGTGTTCGTCTTGAGGGTCTTCCACCTCCCAGTCTGTGCTTAACCTGTTCCCATACTTGTTCGTCCATGGCACTCACTGCCGCGCCCCCGTCAAATAGCGCGTCCATCTTGATCATATCTCCCCCCGTGTCCATTACCCCGATTGGGTGTGTGAACGGTTTTGACTTCCCGGAACCCACTGCATAGAGCTCAATCACTTCCGATTCTGTGAATTCTTCGTGAACATTTGTGTTGTCTATGTTAATGGTCCCGGGGCTTAGCTCTCGCCTCGGCCTCGGGGTCGTTGTCTGGGCGTTTACGGCGACCCCTCCTGAAAACCCTGCGGCCCGCCATCTTCCTCGTCCATCCAATCGGCCACCACTGCGTTGACTTGGACTGGTCGTGGGAGGTTCTTGGCGCAGATGCGCCGAAATTGTCGTTCGGCGGCTGGCAGCGCTGGCTCGGAGCACTCCCTTGCGTTGTGTTTTGGTATGGACAGCTTCCCGCAGTTCCAGCACTCGCCGCTCCCGGGCCATACCGTCCCAGGCGATAATGGCACTCCCACCTGCTCCACAAGGACCGGTGGTCGTAGTGCGGTGAACGCGCGCCATCTTGCCCTGTACACCTCTATGTCTGTGGGCGTCGTCCCCAACAGCGGCTTGGTCGCTTTCATCTTCTCGACCACCCGTACAAGGGTGGCCTTGGCGTCTGGGCTCAGTAGCTCTGGTGACTGTTGTGAATGCGTCTGAAAGTTCGGCGCCGCGATCTGGGTACTCGCCGATATTGCTGTGCGTGCCAGCTGCGTGCGGAGTGGTGCCGTCGGCGATTGCGGCATGGGTGTTCGTGTCGTGGGTCTGGCTCATAGGGCTATTAGCTCCGCCTTGAGCTTATTGTTCTCGCGCTCCTTCTCAACGTCTTCCCCCAGTTTATCCACGTCAACCTTCTCAATGGCCGCCGCAAACGCCTCCCAGCTCGTTGCCGCCCTTGGCGTTTGGTCTCGTAATGAGACCGGCAGGTGGTCTCGTACCGCCCAGATGTTGCTCCCTGACTTCTGTATGCCTGCCTCTTTTGCGATGCGCAGCATCTTCCGCGCAAATGCTACATGCGCGTGGGTCTCCACGCCTCCTACCAACGTCCTGGTTCCCAGCTCGTCCAGTGAGATGCGCAGCTTGCTCAGCTCGCGTTCCCACTCCTGCCTCGTCTTCTCTGCCGCCTGCGGTGCGTCGAATTCCGCTACGAACGCTGCTCGTGCGTCTGTCCACTTTGTGATCGGCGTTGCCGCCGCTTGTCTTGCCTTCCACCACTTGTCGGCCGGTTTTCCTGCCATCAAGAAGTCCCCGAAGGCGTCCATCTTGTCGGCGTCCGTTGTCAGCGCCATGCTCCGCATTTTCAGTGCCACGTGGCGCGCGAAGTCTTCCGCGCTGATCGTGTCTTTGCCGGGCTCGCCCAAGTAGAATAAGTTGGGGTCGTGATCTGTCATCGGCCTTGGTCTTGGGTGCTGCGGCTTCTGTACGGTGGTTTGCGGTGTTGTCGTCGGGAATGGAACTGGTGTTGTCGTTGGCGTGAAGGTCGGTAGGGTATCGGGATCCGGCGCTGGGGTTGCGGTCCGCGATAGTAGCTCGAACGGCGTTGTTTGGCCGCTGCTTCGTAGGGTTTCGGGCGTGCTCGGTCGACTTGTTTCCTCTTCTGCTGCGTCTATGGTCCTCCTCGTGAATCTGCCTCGTATGTCTCGCTTCTGGTGGGGTGGGTTTTACGCTGCTGCCGTCTGCCACCTTGACTACTTGCGTGTTCTTTCTGCGTGCTGCGTTTGTTTGTGCGTTCGAAATCGCTCTCTTGTCACCAGATGGAGTGGTGGCTCTGCGTGATGATGGATTGTTGTATGTACTTGTGTGTCTGATGCGTAAGGCTGGTCTGATGCCCCCTACTCCAGCATCGGCCATTTTTTTCGGGCTTGTGTTAGCACAACTAGTTACCCCATGGATGGAGATGCCTGTTTATAATGTTATTCAGTTCTTCACAAATATGTGCCAATGTAACTTATCAAACGGAATAATCATGAATTCCATTGTCATGTAGATGCTTCCAGATTGCTTCCTCGGAAACTCGCACTCGTTTACTTGCCGGAACAGCTGGCTGGGTTGGAAAACAGTTGCAGTATTTCCGATTCACAACGCCTGCGCACAACACATGTATCAGGTCCCGCGTCAACGTAATACAAATTATGAATCCATCAGTCGCATCAACCCGTTCCGAGAGATCCCGAAGTCCTATACCATACCGGGAATGGGTTCCGCCCAGACACCAATCAAGGGCCTGAATTCTTCCTCGGTCGCATCCTTAATGGGCATGCCAACTAAAACTGGGTCGGATACTCAATAGACAGCAACAGATGAGGCGAGCAAGAAAGTCGTTGGAAGACAACGTAGATATTCAAAAACCGGGCAACGTTTTGTAAGGCATGCAAATTTGTCGGAATTTCCCACTGTCTAGCACGGGCGGTTGACTAGGGCTTCGTTCAGAGCAGTTCGTTCACATGACAAACCCCGACCCAAGTCACGTCTTTGCCGGCCGAAGGGACAACGTGCGAGGTATGATCCACGTTGTTCGTGAGAGCGCACGGATCTTGTTACATGCACCGCCAGTCTATCGATTGCACACCACCATCCTGAAGTGAGCGAGAGGGGATCTGAGATCGGGCATGCTTGTTGGACCGGACATCTCATGGATTGAACGTGTTCAGCCTAGAGGCTATGCCCCTCAGCCAGGATTCTGGTTGGTGATGGATATATTCTGGGTCGTCCAGGGATCTTATCTGACTCAACCTACGGCGTGAAAGACTGGCAGCCAGAGTCCCTGGTCTATATCATCTTACGGGAAAAGTTCCGGCCCTTATTTAACAGATGTCTCGGCAGGTCTCGGCGGGCGATTTCATTTCCGCCGAGGCGAGAGTGATGCCCGAGCCAGGTGCATGATATCATCACTCCGTGATGTGACACATGGTGGTTGATGGGTGGCTGTTTAATATCGTCTTTCTTGAGCAAAAACATCTCGACCTCGGGAGAAGCTCAACCCCTCTTGCCGCTGTTTAAGAGCAATCGATTTTTACGAGTATTATCAAGGGATGGACTTGGGCGCTTGATGTGTATCCAAGGATCTTCTTAGTTTGGCCCTGGTAACCTCGCTCTTCAACTCAGATGGCACGTCCACTGATCCTTGAACCATCACGAAGAACCTATCTCCCTAGAAGCTATTGACTTTTTGTCACACTTTGGCTTGTCGGCTTTCGATTTACTCAAGATCAGGTTTACGTTGTACGCCTATCCGGTGGCATGCACCTGGCAGTTTACCAATTCGCCGTTCCCATACATCAATCGATGATCGGACACATTCATAAGTCCCCTAGTGGACATTCCATCCGGGTAAAAATCACATTGCACTCACTCATAGACTCGACCGTTTCACCCACCCAGAAACCAGCAAGAGCTCTGACCCTGTTCGAGGAATTTTCGAGATCGATGCATCCGGAGCAATACGCTGTGACCAATCCTCTGGAGAAACTCATTCAAATCATTGCTCAGGATGCGTCGCTGATGTCGCGGAATATTCACTCAGCGCACACTGCCATCGCAATCGCTCGTCTGGGCCTCGATGAGATCAAGGCCCTGATCAAGAACGTAGGCAATGAGGATCCCAGCCCAGCAACTTGGGAGAATTTCCAGCGGTACGCAACACTTATCCCGATCCTTGAGAAGTAGGCGTGCCAGTCGCTCTTTTCTCTCTTCATGCTTATCGTACTGCTCAGGTTCTGTCTCTCGTTGCAAAGAATTTCTCACACCGAGTCACATGCGACGCTCTCGTCTCAGCCCCTCGATGTATATTTCGAACAATGGGAAGCGAGTCGCGAGCGGCTTCGAACGCTAGTCGAACAAATCTTGAAGGACCTTTGGGAATTCAAGGTTCGTTCTACGGATCCATGCCCACGCGGTTACTCATGACAAGCAGATACTGCCGGTATTCGATGACTGGGTGTATATCCAGAGATATGATGACTGTCAAGTCTTTATTAAGATCGTGATAGCCCCGAGTTTTGAGCCGACATCTGTCAGAGACAGTGCGACGAGGGATATCATGGAAAAGATCGTCGCGAATGTGAAAGGGCTTCGACTGTCTCTTTTCCGTGCGGCTCAAGCCGTGTTTTCCGTGAGTCGCTCACAGCATGAAAGCCTATGTCTAGCTGATCATGTCACAGACAGTGATGATGTGCTCAATCAAGGTCGCGTTGACTGTTCAAACGCTTTTGAATTCAATAAAAGCCAACCAAAAAAAAATGAAAGCAGGCGATGGTAAAGGAATCGATGGATCTGTTTCAATGACGTCTTTGACTGTGATTCTCCGGTATGCCGGTATAGTTTTCCGTGATGGCTCAGAAGCTTACTCGGTTCAGGTTGACCATATTGATCGATGAGGCCTGTCATGCTCCTAGGAAAGAAGATATCCCCACGGAACTCGACGAGATCAAAACGATATGGGAGAAGATTGTTAGTTCTAACCTCTTCCTCGTTGTGAACAGCTCCTGAACGCCGTTCATTCCCAGATGAAAAAAGCGCCATCCAACTTTCCTGAGGGCTACAAAAAACTTTTCGAGAGTTTCGCAGACGTCCAGAGACCGTATTATCACGAAATGCTGGCCATGATCACCGAATGTTATAGTCTCGCTCAACACTGGGAGCGGCTGCACACCAAGTTCGGTAGCTCGGAGGCATTGAGCAAGTGAGTTCACCGCACCGAACTCCAAAAACCTCGTGACATGACATTTCCAGGGTGATTCAAAGCACAAACACTGCATTGCAAGCTGCAGCAGAGTCGGACTTTACACCCGGAATGGTGTTTGATTACTCGGTTGACTCCACCAAGATGATCCAGACATCTATCAATGCGGCAGTGGAACGCATTCAAGAATTCCACGCGCTAGACAAGGTCAACACTCTTCTTGCCGATCTGTGTAACATTCATTCTCGAGCTCAAATGTTTAGATCATTGAGGACTCTTCAAAGTTCAATAAGCTCTTTGGCGTAGCTAGAGCTAAGGATCAAGCACTTCTTAGCGACCTGAAGAAGCGTTTGTCCGCTGAAATTCCGGTACGCACCCCCCTGCTGTAGTTCGCTGTCTTATCTGCAGCTGTCTGATTGGGATGGCAGCCGGTCGAGAAGCACGAAATGATCAAAGTCGAAGTCGAAATCCGGGCTATTGGATCGATCGAAGCAAAAACTATGGACTGTATGTCAACTTTCAATGCTCTTGACCGGACTGATGCGCCCTTTAGTCATGATCAAGTCTACCGACACTCTCAGTGTTCTGCTCTTCTGTGTCTGCGCTCGGATACCTCCCGTTGATGCCGCTGTGCTGAGAAGTAGAGGTGTCTTCAAGAGGGACATTGCAGACAACCAGGAGATGAGCACTGCTACACCAGCAAACGCGCTGCAAGGCAAGGTGTTTTTGGTTGAATGGGCCAGTTCGGAAGCATATTCAGTCGGAATTTTGGCTGGAAATTCAGAGAACGGGCAGAAATAATTCAAGTGTCTGCTGTAATGACATTGTTTATGCGTCGTCCTCCGTTTGAGCACGTTCAACTCGTGGCCGTGCTCAGTCATGCGTCTGACCATTCATCAATCTCACAGGCAGTAGACCTTGTTATCCATGTAAGAGACCTCCTCCGACTGTGTCAAAGCGTGCCATCGTGTCATCTCAGGTCGTCTTATCAGGCTTGGCATGGGTTGGTTTCGGAACAGTCTTTCTGACGGGTCGCTCCGCTGCGGCTCACGGCAGTCCTGCTCGTCACTGCACCATCATTGCGCAACAATCATGCAATTAGAGGTCTCGCTCGGGAGACGGTTTCTCTGGTACTGTCTCCATCGCGGCCAGAGTGTCGACTGGAGTGGTAGTACTTGGCGCTGACTTCGACCGCCTGAGACGACTTTGACCCTCTGCTGCTCGATTTCATCCGGCAATCATCCTGATCAAACCGCATGGAAGACCAGTGGAATATTCTGCTGACGGTTGCTCGCCCAGAATGCTGTTGGCTTGAGGCGAACAAAGAAGTGCAACAATCTGCACTGCCACTTATGTGCCTGCTCGAGCCATCTGGGGATCAAACCGGGACACTGACCATCATTAGGGGCAGTCAAAGTAGCTGATTCGGGGCTGATTCAATCCTTGATTCGAGTGTGATTCTGGCGTGATTTAGGAATTATTTTTGGCCCAGAATCACCATCAAATCAGGGTCTTACTTTGACCGCCATCTCACATCCTTGCTTCAGCTTTGATTCACCGCTACAACATCTATAGCATGTACCTATTTCCCTAATACACACTTCCGTCTCGCAACCACCATGCCACGAGCCAACCGGCGTACTGCGCACGAAAAAGCCCTCCTAGAGGTGTATTTTGACTTTCGAAGGGCCCGTGTCAAGCGTCAACTCC